TATTAATAAAAGGATTAAGGTAGAAAAACCATGTGAAAATATTGTGTAATTAATTATGATAATCTTGCCTACTATACTCAATTATTTCTCCTTTTTATGTGGTAATTTAGTTTGCAGTTAAACATATTTAGTAAACACTGAATTCTTAAAGCTAAAAATGTATACTTTTTAAATCAGGGCTTCTTACATATTAATGTGCATATGAATTAGCTGGGGATTATTTAAAAATCAGACCTCTGATTCTGTAGCTCTGGGATGCGGCTTGAGTTTTATATTTCTAACAGCTCCCAGGTGAGCTGTCACTGTTTCTGCTTGTCCACGGACTGTATTTTGATTAGCAAGTCTCCCTGTAAACGCAATACAGAGGCGGCAATAGAAACACCCATGNAATGAGGAGGAACACTGGGAGGTTGGTTACCTGACTAACGCTCAGCAGTACAGTCTCTACCAACTAGAGCGGTCATAGCATATATAGACCCCGTCCTTTAAACAGTTTAACACCCATTTATGTATTTATTTATGGCCGTGCTGGGTCTCTGTCGCTCCTCAGGCTTTCCCTTGTTGCGGTGAGCAGGGGCCGCCCTCCATGGTGGGGTGCGGCCTTCTCATGGCGGAGGCTTTTCATTGCTGAGCACAGGCTCTAGACACACGGGCTTCTGTAGCTGCAGCACTTGGGCTCAGTAGTTGTGGAGCATGGGCTTAGTTGCTCCGTGGCATGTGGGATCTTCCCAGATCAAGGGTCGAGCTCATGTCCCCTGCATCGGCAGGCAGCTTCTTATCCACTGTGCCACCAGGGAAGTCCCGTTAAAAACAGTTTATCAGTGACTTCAATTTTGACCTTCAGTGAGTCGTCATCTTCTTTATCTAGTTCTTCATGTGTGCACAAGGCAAGAAAAAAAGAGTATCTGATTTTGAATTGCATACTTTGATCGCACAGTTCAGTAAAGGAGACTTCGTGTGGAAGGTGACTGATGAAGCCATGGTTTTACAGTCAGCCTGCTCATGTTCTAATTGTGTGGGACCTTAGGCATGTTACCTAATCTAGGTTTTGGGCTTTTCATTTGTCAAAAAGAGATATTAAAATAAGTGAGATAGTCCATGTTAAATATTTAACACAGTTCCTGGCATACAGTTAGTGCTCCATATGTATCAGTTATATTTGTTATAGATAACAGTTATTGGCATATTTATGTCCTTATAACATTTTATTACATTTTAGAATTTTTTATTGTGGTGAAAACACATTAATCTATCATCTTAGCCATTTTTAAATGTACGGTTCTGTAAGTATAAACATTGTCATGCAACAGATTTCTAGAACTTTTTCATCTTGCAACACAGAAATTCATATACTTCAATAAAAAAGAATTCCTCCTGCAAGCCCTTTACACTTTAGTTCCATTTCTGTAGTATACTGATATGAAACCACTCTGCATGGCCCTGTCACTACTGTTCCATGGCCCTGTTTCCTGTCACTATTGGGAAAACACATAGGATTTGAAGTAAAAATTTAGACACAAGATTAAGCCCTGAATTATACTAACTATATGAACATCTTATTAGTCCCAGTTTCAAGCTTTGATTATATCATCCATATCTGCAAATAGGCCCATGTTATGAATTGTATATTATTGTTAATTAGTCTCTGAATGCCCCCTCCTTCTAATATTCCTCCTCTGCGTTCCTAAAAATTGTTCATTTTAGCACTCTGCATGTCACATTGAAATGTGTCTTTCTCTTGAGTAAATGAAAAGCACCTTGTGGACTGGGGTTAGGTGTTAATTCAAAACTGATTTCACATGTGTTAGACAGAACAGTATATTTACTTTATATTTCTCTGTCATTTGCTTCCTTGTGTTCCCAGGAGCCTCATTTTCATCATATTACATTTCCCTTTGTTTAACACCCTTTTCTAAAACCCTTGGCAAAATGCCTACCCACAACAGTGATTGGTAGGAGGGAACAAACCAGTCCAGTGGAGTATGGACAGAATTAGGGTAAAGTTATAAAGAGTTTGAAAAAAGAAAGCCTGGTTTTTAGACTGTCTCTCTACTTTTAACGACTACCTAGTTATGATTAGAATGTTCTTACTCCTGCTTCTTCTGCCAAGTGTCTAGAGAAGTCAAGAGGCATCTTGTTTCTTTCCAAATGATTTGGGGGCAAATTGCTTCCAGGTACAACAGGCTCTGCTCCTGAAGATCTGTATTGAAAAGTTAATTTAGAGAATCAAGGTTCACTTTCTGAAGCAGAAGCCAAGACAGTTATGTAACCTGAAATTCTCTGTTGAAAACAAAACCTGCAGATGCTCAGAAAGGTAAATTAAACTCTTTGACTTGTCCCTCAGCCACCAAGCATCTTTGGGCAGCCCAAAGAATATTAATAGCACCAGGGTGGTCATTGTAATGATGCTGAATGAAGCACTATTCATTCCAGCCAATGTGATTTAAAAGTCTGCCCAGAGTAGCCAGCCAGAATGCACGCTGAGGTTGAGCTGAACTTTACAATGTGGTTTGCGGCCTAAAGAGCCTCTTGTGTTTAAAAAAAAAAAAATGCAAAATTTGATTATATGCACAACTGATTTGAGAAAAATGTTTCCTCCTCTCAGAAGATGCTTTCTTGATGAAGGATTGCATACCCTAGATTGAGAAGGGGAGCCTAAGAGAATGAATATTATTGGCAATTACCACAGGTCTCATGCTCATCTCTTACCTTTAAAAGAGGAAAGGAGGACTTTCCTGGTGGTCCAGTAGTTGGGAATCCACCTGCCAATGCAGGGGACACAGGTTCGATCCCTGGTCTGGAAGATCCCACTGGCTGTGGGGCAACTAAGCCTGTGTGCCACAACTACTGAGCCCAAGCTCTAGAGCCTGTGCTCTGCAACAAGAGAAGCCACTGCAATGAGAAGCCTGCGTACCACAACTAGAGAGTAGCCCCCACTTGTGACAACTAGAGAAAAGCCTGCGAGCATCAATGAAGACCTAGGGCAGACAAGAAAAGAACGGAAGGGAATACATGCCACATGCCAGGAACTCTGCATATGTCCTTCCAGTAAATCATCAGGTGAAGTCAGCGACCTCGTATTACAAATTATGAAAAACAGACTCAGAGACAGAAAATAATTTGTCCAGGGTCTCTCAACTAGTAATGTGGAAGAACTGGGATACAAACAGGGTCTTCCTGTCATGACCTAGGGAGAGAATCCACCATCATCACACCACCTTGGGCATTGACTTTCAATTATCTAATTTCTCCCTCAAAATCTGAGGTCCACATCCCACCAAATAATGTCTCTAAAATAGATCCTGATGTTTTCAGAATCTAAATTCAAGTTATAGGGACTTTCCTGGTGGTCCAGTGGTTAAGACTCTGAGCTTCCAATGCAGGGGTTGTGGGTTCCATCCCTGGTCAGGGAATAAGATTCCACATGCTGTGTGTGCAGTATAGCCAAAAAATAAAACAAATAAACAAACAAAAAAATCAAATTGTAATCAACTACTATTATATAAGCAAGTACTTTCTAAAATATACATATTTCTGTAATAAAATCAAGACAGAAAATATTGCAAAGAAAGCAATTTTTTACCTAAAATTCAAGTGACATTTAATTTGGAGGGATAAACAAGGCTAAATATTAAAAGAAATTTGTGATCATATTGTCCTGAGAATGAGTCTCCAGTTTTCAGTCTTGCTTTATGACTTCATACCTTCCATAGGTTATATGGCTGTTCCTCCTCTTTGTTTATAGTCAGAACTTGGGACACTGACATTTTCTCCCTGTCAGATGTTAGTTAGCAACCTTTAATGCATTTACTCATTTTCTGTGTGTGGGCTGATGATTCTTGCTAAAAGCATATGTGGCTCACTCCTTTATTTAGTATTCAGTAAATATTTATTGAACATCATCTATTGCCAGATATTGTCTATCTACTAGGTTCTCTGTGTTCTAGAGCTTTTCCCATATGTTTCACATGGATAGTCCAAAAGTCCTGAATCTAGTTTAGGAACTCAAATGTAGCATAAATACTAAAAGTATACAGAATTTCCAATAATGATATAATAGCTAATATTTACTGCATGCTTGTCATGTCCCGGGTTCTAATGATGAATGTTTTTGTATGCATCTCATGTAATCTTCCTAACAACTCTGTGATAAAAATATAATTTAATATTATGCCTTTTTTCAGAGGAGGACATTGTCCTAGCGTGATTCTTACAGAGTTCATAAAGCTAGTATCATAGGTGGGGTGCGAACCCAGGCCCACCTGACAGAAAATCCACATTCTTAACCACCATGTGCTCAGCCTTCTAGTAAATTCCCTTCTGTTAAGAGTCAACGTACATGTACAGGGTGCCAGGAAATAAAGATGCCTAAGACATGGTTTCTGTCCTCAAGAAGCACCAGTCCACAGTGGGGTAGGAGGGATACTCACCTAGGCTCAACAAGCCTTGGGCCTTATTATATATCGTGCCCTGCTGCGTGCTGGAGAAAACCGTGAAGCCAGCACAATCTCTGCCCTCAAGGAGCTCACACTGATCAGAGACACGAGGAAACAGCAGCTGTGAAGGGCACCTGAGTCCTCCTTCCAAGTTTTCCCATTTTGGAGCTGTTCGGAGGCAGACAGGCGTGGAGAGGCCGTATGAAGCAGGTGCTTCAGCCTCATCTTCAGTCCGCCATTTCTTGGTGACCTCAGGCAGGCAGCTTCGCCTCTTCCATGGATTTAAAAAAGAGGTGAGGTGCTTCTGCATTAAATCGCTGGTGGTTGCCAGGGGTGCCTGGGATGACAGGCGTGTGGTGAGAGTTCGTTTTTTGGGCAAGGTGTGAACCCCTCCCAAGGACGGCAACGGGGGGACGTGAACGGAGAGCTGAGGTGTCTGAACCCTGATTCGACAGGCCCCTCGGCGGCCCCGCTACCCGCGCCGCTCCGTCGCAGGCTCTCCGGGCCGCCTCTCGTCTTGCTCCGCAGTCTCGCGGGATTTGCGCTCTCCGCTGGTGACTTGCACCGGGTGCTCGATGAGGTGACGAGATGGGTGCCTCTGAGCGGGCGCCGCGGGCGAGGCCGTTGTCTTCAGCCCTCCCCTCCCGTGGCTCGTTTGTTGAGAAAACTTGGTGGGTAGGAAGGTCTTCAAGTTTCCACGTCGTCAAGGTAATGCTGTTAATACTAGCATGTCCTTCCATTCCTCTCCCCTACCCACTGCCTCCAGGACAGGTTTTCGGTCTGGTGACCCACAGGTCTGAATCCGGGACATCTAATGTGGCCTTTCTGTTGAAAAATGTTTGCTTAATTTGCTCTGCTAGTTCTTTTGAAGTTCTTTTGAAATTAAATATATGGGCTTCTCTTGTTGCTCAGAATCTGCCTGCAATGTGGGAGACTTGGGTTCGATCCCTGGGGGGGGAAGATCCCCAGAGAAGGGCATGGCAACTCACTCCAGTATTCTTGCCTGGAGAATTCCATGGACAGAGGAACCTGGCGGGATACAGTCCTTCTGGTTGCAGAAGAGTTGGACATGACTGAGCAACTAACACTTTCACTTTCACTTTCAACTATGTATTTAGGCTTCCCTGGTGGGTCATTGGTAAAGAACCCGCCTACTGATGCAGAAGACTAGAGTTTAATCTGTGGGTCAGGAAGATCTCCTGGAGAAGAAAATAGCAACCCATTCTAATATCCTTGCTTGGGAAATCCCATGGATAGAGGAGGCTGATAGGCTACAGTCCATGGGATCTAAAAGAGTTGGACATGAGTCAGCAACTAAAAAACAAACAAAAAAGCTACTTATATACCTACATAGGTCTTACATGTATACCTATATAGGTACTTGAGCCTGAAAACCCAGGGATGCTAAATGCTCTACAACCTCTATTAGTATCAGATATGGTGGTAAAATTACTTGCATGTAGAATCCCCTGGATAAATGTGTTTGTGCCTTATGTGTCATAAATGAAAAAGAGCACAGGTGGCTCTGACTGTGGATAAGAAGGGAAAGCTTGTTTTCTCCCAAGAAAGTGGACCATTATGACATATATATCCAGCTCCTAGTACTGTTTTCTTGCTCATAATCAATTCAGTTCAGTAAATAATCGTTTCAGTAAAAGTTGAACCAGGTATCTCTCCAAAAAAAGTAATAAATAAACCATAGAAGACCGAAAGGAAGGAGTATAGTAAAACTTGAGAGAATGAACCGAATTCAAAAACTGAAAAAGATCTATATAAATATCTTGGAGACCTAGGCACATGCATCTGGGAACAAAATTAAATGTGGCAGAATAGTCAGGGTGGACTGGAGACACTTCCCAAGGAAACCAGTAAGAACTGATCCCCAAATCAAACTATTTACATATCTGTAATTGTCTAATTCAGGGGTCCCCAATCTCTAGGATCTAATGCCCGATGATCTGAGGTGGAGCTGATGTAATAATAATAGAGATAAAGTGCACAGTAAATGTAATGTGCTTGAATCATCCCAAGACGACCCACCCCCAGTCCATCCATGGAAAAGTCATTTTCCATGAAACCAGTCCCCTGGGACACAGAATGTTAGACCCTGGTCTAACTTATCCCTGACCGCACTCGGCAGGAGTACTAGTGCAACCTCATTGCTGCAGTTCTCGGGACTCCTCTACTGGGCAGCGTTGGCTGAAGGACTGCCATCAGCCTGACTTGAACTTTTCAGACTGGGCTGCAGTCTGAACTGCTGGCTGCTCAGTCCTTTCTTTTCCCGCTCCTTCACTGGTGTCAGGTCTGTGTCACAGCGTCAGACTCTCCCACCATCCCTTGCTCCCTTTCATCCTTCTTAGATATTCCACTAGTAGATCACTGGCATGCTATTATGGGCTGAATTGTGTCCCCTCCCAAAATTTGTTGGAGCTCTATAAACTCACAGTGCCCCAGAATGTGACTGTTATTTGGAGACGAGTCCTTTGAAGAGGCGGTTGAGTCAAAATGGAGCTGTTAGCATGATCCCTAATCCAATCTGACTGATGTGCTGATAAGAGGAAGTGAATTTCAGCATACAAAGAGACCCCAGGGGTATGTGCACAGAGCAAGGGCCATGTGAGGACACTGAGCAGGTGGCCATCTGCAAGCCAATGAAAGAGGCCTCAGAAGAAACCAAGCATATTGACACCTCAGTCTTGAAATTCTAGTCTCCAGAACTCTGAGAAATTAAATTTCTATTGTTTCAGCTGAAAAAAAAAAAATTGTAGAATCTATTCTTTTGGAGTTTATTTGGAGTAGTAAAGGATAAAATGTAGGCAAACTGTCTATATATGTTCAGTGTATGTTAATTACTGTTGTTATTGTCATGCTCTTGTACGCCTTAGAGGAATGTCATGGTGGTGCCATCTGTATGCTCAGCCTCACATCTTTTTGGCTGCAACCACCACCTTCACACGGGTGTTCCCTGACACCATCATGCCCCAGCTGCCATACCTATCTCTGCTTTCTGCCCAGGAGTCCACTCCCCCTCTGGCATGCACAAAACTGGAAGTGAAAGGGAGTTGATGCCCCATGTGGCAACTCTTGACAGTAGAAGGTCGGGGGGTGGGAGGCACTGGTAGATAGAGGCTTTCCTCCTCACCCCTTGGAGAGCGAGTTCTAAATGGCATGATGGATGCTCCCCAAAAGGTCCTGGAGGATTGAGTCCCAGTTGCCCACAACAGTGAATAGCCTGATGACACGTCCTGGTATTGCCTTTCCCTCCCCTATTCACTATACCTGGTTCCTCACTCCTCTTGCCTGGAATCACTGCTCAAAATGAACTATTACATGCCAACCTTTGAATCAGGCTCTTCTTCCTAAGGGATTGTGGAAGCAAGCATAGGGAGGAGGTGAGAATGGATAGTGGAAATGAAGGGTTTCCCCAGACTGAAAAAAAAAAAGGGTCATCTGGATCATTGCCAACTCGCTTATTTAGATCCCCTCTATGATATCTTGCACTTCCCTGGTGGCTCAGATGGTCAAGCATCTGCCCGAAATGCAGGAGACCTGGGTTCCATCCCTGGGTCAGGACGATACCCTGGAGAAGGGAATGGCAACCCACTCCAGTGTTCTTGCCTGGAGAATCCCATGGACAGAGGAGTCTGGGAGGCTATAGTCCATGGGTCGCAGAGTCAGACATGGTTGAGTGACTAACACTTTCTTTCTTCTATGGTATCTTTGCTGACTGCTCATCTCACCACTGCTTTATACGTCCTGTGAAAGGAATGCATGATCGCTAATCCCATTTGTGGATATCCATATGTCCCTGGCACCTAGAATAATACTTAACATGGAATAAGAGCTTAATAAAAATAATTGGATGCATTTTTAAGGGAGTAAAATTTTCTTGGTTTGTATAGTGACTGCAAATCTCCTTTTATTTTAAGCATTAGATCTAGTTTTCCATATAAAATAAACTTTTATATGCTTTTGAGCCTTGTTTTGGGCTTTTTGTTTTGTTTTCATAAAGAGAATTAATTACCAGGGGACTTGTAGGTCCTTTAATGATGCACTTTAAAAAAATAACAATGGAATTAAGTAGAAACTGATTGTTTCTACCTTATTTAAATTGATGTAGGCATTTTCCCCTTAGATTTACATACTGTTTTTAAATGTTAGCTGTATGGAAAGTAATGCAGGTTTGGAATCAGAGGATCAGAAGTTTAGTTTATATGACTTAATATTTTAGTGATTTTAAGATTAGATTAATTTTTTTTCTGGTAATTATGATTTTTTTTAAAAAGTAACTTTTCTGATTCTAACCACTACTTGTTTTTCGTTAAAAATTTGGTAGAGACAGAAGCATGTTTGCAAAAAGGACAAAAATAAATTATAATTTCTGCTCCTCATAGACCATACCGTTTGAAATTTTTGCTCATTTTATTTCAGTCCCACTTCTGTCTATGAAGTATATAGGGTGGGTTATATTATATGTAAACCTTCCTATCCTGGTTCATTCTAATGCATTTTAAATAAGTAATAATGTTATTTGACATGTTACAAATATTTTAAATGTCAGCAAAATATTTCATGCTTTCAGATGCATTCTTTTCCACACCTCCACTGCACCAAAGCTTTACTTAGAAAATTAAATATTTTTAAAAAATTTTTATTGAGATTTTCTTTTTTTTAATTATGATTGAGATTTTCTAATTATAACAATAAATAAGGAAAAAACCGGAATATAACACCTACTGACTTTGTTTTGGATCTTTACAGTTCTTTTTCCTCTATTCTATGAAATGGGAATCGCATATATATATTAAGATGATAACCCTCTTTTTTCATTTACTTTGTTTTATGATCATTTAATGTCCTTGCTGCTGCTGCTAAGTTGCTTCAGTCCTGTCCAACTCTGGGCGACCCCATAGACGGCAGCCCAACAGGCTCCCCCGTCCCTTGGATTCTCAAGGCAAGAACACTGGAGTGGGTTGCCATTTCCTCCTCCAATGCATGAAAGTGAACTCGGTTTTAATTTTTTTGGTAAAAGTAAATTTTAAAGAGATTTAGGATTCTATTATGTGGAATTGATACTATTGCTTTAGCCAATTTGCCGTTATTAAATTTTTAGGTTGTTTCTGATTTTTTTTTTCACTACTATCAAAGTAATATTATCATGATAAGTATTAGATTAGTTTGTTATGGGTCATTTATGTTGGATCATAGCATTTGTCACTCTCTAAAAATCATGGTGTTGGACAAGGAGGGTCGCAAAGAGTCGGACATGACTGAGCAACTGAATTGAACTGAACTGAACTGAAAAATCACAGCTTTTCAAGATAGTTGACATAAAAATGACAGATTTAGAATCTAATTTTTTTCTTAGATATTCATATGTATTATTAATTAGATATTGCAGTTCAGGTGCTTAAGTTAGAACAGTACCATTTTGTTTCCTCACTATTTGTTTTCATCAGTCGGTTTACAGGATCCAGATTTTGAGATTTCTGTGATGTGTTGTTAAGAGAGATTCCTTAAAAAAGAGAGAGAGAGATTCCTTTACAGTCCATCCATATAAGTGACTTTCATTATAAACAGATTTATAAGCTACAGTGGTAGTGAGTTTTACTAGTTAAAGATACGAGATTAAAGGTAAGAGCATGTTATTTTGCTCAGGCTTGACACTTCAGTCCTGTCTATGAAATGCTTGAACAGCACCAATGTAC